GGACCCCCAAGCCCTCCCCAGACGGGTGTCACCGGTGTCCCCATCCCAGGGCACTGAGGCCAGGCTTCCCTGGAGCGCTCCCAAGCCCATTGCCCATCCCAACCCCGATCCCGGTTCCAACCCTGGTAGTGCCTGGCTGCTCCCGGCGCAGCCCCTGGACCCTCCATGGATCAGCACCTACTTGGCTCCATCCAGGTTGTGCTGGATGGTGCTGAGGTTGCACCATAAAGCACTGTGCCACGAGCACTGGATGATGCTGAGCCCCCTGCGTGGGGCTGAGCATGGGACAGGGCACACTGGGAGCTGTAAATCTCCCCCATCCCCCTGGTTCAGAGTATACAGTGGGTGCCGGGGTGCCTTGGGCACCCATGGGTGCAGTGCCCTGCAGTGTGGGCACAGGGAGAGCAGCAGCTACTGCTGCCCCCCCGAACCTGCTGCAGGTGGGGGGCTGCTGGTGGCACCCCCCTGCGCCCCCCCCCAACCTCGGTGGGTGCCATCGGGCAGGCTCCCGGGAAGGATTTTGGCTCCGGCTCCAGCTCCGACCGCATTCCTCGGTGGAGGGAGGAGCGCAGCTGGAGCCTGGCATGACTCAGCCCCGGCCACATGGCTGGGGACACGGCGGTGACCCATGGGGGGCACAACCCGTCCTCTGTCCCCATGCCCCTAGCATGGGTGACCCCTCCTTGAGCCAAGGGGTGAGCTTTGTCCCTGCCCGGGGACCCCTCAGTGTGAGCGGGGGGTGCCGTGGTCCCTGTGAGCCCCCGTGGTGGGGGACGGCCGTATTCTGGGTTAGGATAACCCTAAAATGGGGCTTTCCCTGTGGACACCGGACGCATCCTGACCCTGTGGCTCCCTCACCCCAGCCACCAGCCACTGGATCCGGGCAGTGCTCCCCTTTGCATGGGTGCGCAGCCCATGGGGGCCCCCAAACATGGGGATGCTCAGGAGGGTCCGGAGCAGGACAGAAGCTCCCAGCGTGGAGCCGGCAGCACGGGAGTGATGGAGAGGAGGAACCGGAGGGGGGGGGAGTCACTGCGGGATGAAGGCTCCAGCCTCATCCTGCCGCCTGCTCCTGGTGCCGAGCCGCGGCGTTGGCAGCGCCACCCGCATTCCGCTGCTCCTCAAGGGACCGGCTCGGGACATTCCCACGGGGATTTCCAGCCCGGGCACACACCGGATCGGGCTGGTGCCTGGAGGAACGGGGGGGGAGCGGTCCTGGCTCTGCCGCAGCGCTCGGGGAGGCAGATCCCGGCCCCGCGGTGAATCACAGGGAAGCAGCTGCGGGAGCTGATTCAGAGCTCGCAGCGCTTTCTGCTGCGGAGAACTTTCTCCGAGAGGCTGTCCGCAGCCCGGGGGGGGCGATCTGGGTGTGCTGCGGGTTCCCCCCCCCCCCCCGGGTGCGGTACTCACTGGCCTGAAAAACACCCCCCTCAAACGGGGCACTGGGTTGGAATGTGCTCTTGCTCCCACTGGGGATGGGGAGAGGGGGATTGCTGGAGCTGACGGACCAATGGCACCTCTGGATCCCTGAGCAGGAGGGTCGAGGTCCAGGGATGCTCTAACCTCATCCAGGATGCTCTAACCTCATCCAGGATGCTCTAACCTCCTCCTGGGATGCTCTAACCTCCTCCAGGATGCTCTAACCTCCTCCTGGGATGCTCTAACCTCATCCAGGATGCTCTAACCTCATCCAGGATGCTCTAACCTCCTCCTGGGATGCTGTAACCTCATCCAGGATGCTCTAACCTCCTCCTGGGATTCTCTAACCTCCTCCTGGGATACTGTAACCTCATCCAGGATGCTCTAACCTCCTCCTGGGATACTGTAACCTCATCCAGGATGCTCTAACCTCCTCCAGGGATGCTCTAACCTCATCAAGGGGTGCTCTAACCTCCTCCAGGGATGCTCTAACCTCCTCCAGGATGCTCTAACCTCCTCCAGGGATGCTCTAACCTCAGATAAGGAGGAGATGCAGCTGCAAGTGGGATGGTCCTGGTGGCTGGTCCAGGCCTTTCAGAGACAAAAGCATCCTGCAACCCCCTACCTGCATCCCTGCACAGGGCCAGCAGACATGGGGACCATCCCCCCCGCCAGGATGCCCAGGAGCCTCTATGGCCTCATCCTGCCTTTCTCTGTCGGGGTGACAGCCACAGGGCTTGGAGATGGTCTTGGGGGACAGCAGCTCCCACACGGTGCTGGGGCTGTGACACTGCCACTGGTGCCAGTCTGTGACTGGGAGAGGCACAGCCAGGTTGTTCCCAACCCCGAGTGTTGCCTCCCCAGCTTTCCCTGGCTGTGGTGCGGGCACTGTCACACGTCACCCCTCCATGTCTCTACTTGTGCCCCGTGACTCAGGGATTTGGGCAGGTTTGGGGAGGGAGGAGGGGCAAAAGCCATTTCCCTGCCAACAGAAAGCAGAGGCAGCTGCTGCTTGTCACATAGGGGTGAATTATTAATGCAGGAGGACAGCGTCCCCTGTCCCGGCGTCCCTCTGTCCCCCTCCGTGTGTCCCATGACTTGGGACGTGACACTTTTCCGGTCACTTACAAGGAGGAGGAGGAGGATGAGTGAGCAGGAGATAAGAGGGAGCGTGGTCCTCAGCCGGAATCAAAGGGCCCCACGCGCTGGCACGGGGTCCCTGTGAGTCACCCGTGGGGCTGGCGTCACCCACTGTGTCCCGTGGGTGCCCACCCTGGGGTCCTCCCACTGCCAAGGCTCCCGGGACAGAGCACTGTGGGACATGAAGGTAATCTCTTGGGACTGGATGGGGAAAAGGGGTTATTTTGTGAGTACATCTCCTTTTTAACCCCAGCACCCTTCCTCCCGCCATCCCCATCACTGTCAGCATCGATGTTTATCTGCGTGCAGCTGCCCATGGGTGATAAGGACGGGTGGCACTCGTGTTGCTGCAGACGTGATGCTGTTTCGGGGCTGTCACTACTGTTCCCATCTCCGCATGGCTCCCAGCTCTTCCAACACCCCACATCTCCATCATTGCTCCGCCAGGTCCCTGATCCCTCTGCTCAGCTCCGGGTTAGCTCAGCTCCAAGAAGAACCTTCTGAGCCCCATCAGTGTTTCCGGCCCCGGGGAGCTGATGCTGCTGCTTCCTCGAAACTCGGATGTGGTGGCTGCCACCGCCACGCGGCCCCGTGTCACTGCCCCCTGGCCACATCCAGTGGGGTTTGCTGTCAGGGCGACAAACGCTTTGTCACCTCCTGGCCCCTGACGGGTTCCAGTTGCCTGCAAGCATGGGCAGCAAGCGGGGAAACCTGCAGGGCAGTGGATGCAGCCCTGCGCTTCCTTGCACATGGATCCATCCGTGCACTCGTGGAGCCCTTCGTGCACACCTGTGTAAAGGGAGCTGCTTGTGCACACGTGGATCCATCTGTGCAAGTGTGTGCACGTCTGTTCATGCATGCCCACGCTAATGAATCTGCTTGCACACATGTGGTTTCATCCATGCACACGTGCATCTATCCATGCACACGTGGATCCATCCATGCACATGTGTGTGCACGTCTGCTCATGCATGTCCCACACCAATGAAGCTGCTTGTGCACATGTGATTTGATCCATGCACATGGTTTCATTCACATGAAACCATGGATGCACATGTGGTTTCACCCATGCACGTGTGGATCCATCCACGCACATGTGGTTTCATCCATGCACACATGGATCTATCCATGCACATGTGGTTTCATCCGTGCACACATGAATCCATACATGCACACATGGATCTATCCATGCATATGTGTGTGCACAGGCCTGATCATGCACACCCATGTAAATGGAGCTGCCTGTGCACACATGGATCTGTCCATGCACACGTATCTTTTGTGCACACCCATGCAAGTCCATGCAGGATGTATGCGTAGTTTACACACGTGTGCACACTGGAAAGATGTTTATGCGCGCACACACAGTGAGTACATGTGTGCATGCATGCACATGTGCTGTCATGTGTGTGTGTGCATGTGTGCACGTGCCCGCGTGTGTGTGCACGCCCCAGCGCTGTGCATGCATACATGCGCATGTGTGTGCACGTGCTCATAGTTACACGTGCCCAGGGGTGACTATACACATACACATTCACATACACATGCACATACACATGCACATGCACACACACATGCACATACACATACACATGCACATACACATACACCTGCACATACACATACACATGCACATGCACATACACATGCACATGCACATACACATACACATGCACATACACATGCACCTGCACATACACATACACATACACATGCACATACACATGCACATACACATGCACCTGCACATACACATACACATGCACATACACATGCACATGCACATACACATACACATGCACATGCACATACACATGCACATGCACATACACATACACATGCACATACACATACACATGCACATGCACATACACATGCACATACACATACACATGCACATGCACATACACATACACATGTACATATGTGCAAGACCAGGGGTTACTGTATGTGTGTGTGGTGTGTGTGTGCATGGGTGCCTGTGCCCAGAGGTGAGCACACACATGTGCACATGGGTCCACATGTCCAGAGGTGACCATACATGAACTAACATATGCAAACCCCGTGTACATGCATGTGCATATAGCACAGCGCAGAGGATGGGGTGGGCGGGGCGCACTATCGAGCCGAACCGAACCGAGCCGAGCCGAGCCGAGCCGAGGCAATCCGATTGGGACCGACCCGATCCGAAAGGAGCCGAACTGATCCGAGAAGGGGCCGACCCGAACCGAGGAGGCGATGAATTGAGCCGAGGAGAAACCGATCCGATCCGAACGGGGCCGACCCGATCCGAGTAGGAACCGACACGACCCGAGAGGGGCCGAACTGATTCGAGGAGGGGCCGATCCGATCCGAGGAGGGGCCGATCCGATCCGAGCGGAGCCGAGCGGGGCCGAGCGGGGCCGAGCGCCAGCCCATTCTCATAAACCACATGCTGCCGCGGCGCTATAAAGGGGAGCGCGGCGGCGGTGGTGGCTCAGCCCGGCCCCGCTCGGCCCCGCCGCCGCCTCGCTCGCTCCGCCCGGCCCCACAGCAGCCCCGGCCCCACGGCAGCCCCCATGCCCCGCCTCGGAGCCAAGGTACGGCGGCCCTTCCCGTTATCCCGGTGCGGGGTCCCCTCGTAACACGGTCACGCCGCGGGACAGGGCAGAGCTCCCGGCGGGGGGGATGCTCCAGCCCCGGCTCGGTTCATGGACCCGCGGGGTGAGGCTCCAGCCCCCTCCCGATTCTCGGTTCCAGCCCCGGCTGCCGGAGCCGAGGGGTGAAGCCCCTGGTTCTCGGTTCCAAGCCCGATCTCGCTTCCCGGAGCCGGCGGGGGCAGGCCCCGGTTCCAGCCCGTCCCGTCCCGGTGGGGTGAGGCTCCGGCCAGCCGTGGCCGTGTCTCGGCGGTGGCATCTGGCAGCTTCACAAGAGGGGAGGATTTTGGACAACTTCCAAGGGAAATTCCCCCCCTCCATCACCCAGGCACCCTCTCAGTGCCGGTGCACCGGAGGGGGGGGGCACGCATCATCCCCCCCACCCCGCGGGTCTGCTCCATCCCCACCTCGGGGGTCTTCATCCCGGGACAAGCCCCCGTTGCCCACCGTGATCCCGCCACGATTTGGGGCCTCCCCGCTTCGTTGCAGGAGGACTGGGAGGGGAATTTGGGGCGACGCCAGAGCTGCTGCATGGAAAGAGCCCGGCGGGTGCAGGCTCTGGAAGCTGGGGGGGGTCCGGAGGGTGGGAAGAGGATTTTTGGGGCTGGGTGGGTCGGTGCGTCAGGCGGCTCCCCGGAGCCGGGGTGGAGGAGAAGATGTGCAGGGGAGCTGGAGAAATGGTGTGGGAGAGCGGGATGAGGGCTGGATGGGGAATGTGGAAGTGGCTGAGAGCCACAGCCAGGCTTGTGCTCGCCAGGCTCCGGCCACGCAGCCCCTGCGCTGGGCGCTGGGAAATTCCCTGCTGACCTGACGCTCCTAAAAATAGCAGGATAGCGATGGGAATGGGGCTGGAGGTTCACGGTGGGGTTATCCCGCTGGATCGGGGTCAAATCCATCGCAAAGGGGAGGGGGGGTGGGTGGGAAAGGGGGGGGGTTAACGCTGCTCCAAGCCTTTGCTCTGCCATGCTCAGGTGTGCCTGCTCCGCTGCACCCTGCTCTCCTCCCTCCTCATCCTCCTGCTCTGCAGCATCCATGAGACGGAGCAGAACAGATACTGCCAGCAGATCATCACCGAGCGGCACCTGGCTGAGCTGGAGGAGCTGGTGAGTGGGCTCCCTGCACAGTGCCACGGGATGGGGCGCAAACCAGCCCTGATTTTGAGCAAATCTGCTGGTTTTCACCTCCGGCATCAAAATGATGGTACCCAGGAGCTGAGCATCCGTGGGCACAAGGGATAAGCGGGTGCTGGGAGGGGGGGGGTGATTGTGCAGTTGTGCTTTTATCGTGGGCAGCTGTGGAAAAGTGCTGGTGGGATAAATGGAAGACGATGGGGAAGAAGCAGGAACGGGGCTGGATGAGGCAGGAGCGATGGGGAAGCAGCCGAGGGGACGGGTGTTTTCCGGGCGGCTGCGCAGGGGTTAAGCGGAGGAATCCGGCTGCATTCCTGAGTCCAGCTGCTTGCCTGGAAGCTGGGCTGGCAACAGGGCTGTGGGTGGGTGGCAGGCAGCGAGGGGGGCCGCTGGCCAGGCGATGGATGGAGCCAGCCAGGCTGTGGCCATGGGTGCCTTTGGCGACGGGTGCCTTTCACCCTGCGTGGTCCATAGGGGCAGCGCTGGATGCTCACACCCATCCCGCAGGGACACGGCTCCTCCTGGCCCCATCCCGGCTGTTGGGGCCGTATCTTGTGCTGGCCCTTGGCTCACCCCCGAGTGTGGGAATCGTGCTGATGTTCAGGGGAGAGCCGGGAATTGGGGGCACGCAGGGATTTAACCGGTTGTCGCAGATTAAATTCCACTGTGCCGCGAGAGGGGTCCTTTACCCCGAGCCTGTAACCGCTGTGTCCGGGCTCGGTTTTACCTCTTCCTCTTCAGGCACTGAGCTGTAGTGCCAGGAGATGGCAGATAACGGCTTCTTCCTCTGCCCAAATTGTCCCTAGGCGGGGGGAGCCTTTGCTTTGTAATCCCATGGGATGGGAAGTGGCTGCGTGCTTGCAGGGAGAAAGGGGATGGAGCAGGTTTGAATGGAAGGGGTGGTTTTGCTGCTGGGGATTGCAGCCCTCTCCTCTTCCCGCTGGTGGAGGAGCCGTCCCCTTGCTCCAGCCCCTACAGGATAATGGAGCAATTGTTTCCGGGCCGATATTCCGGGCGGCAATTCTGGCAGCCCTTACCATTTCCAGCCTGGAATATCGGCCCGGAGAGAGGGAGCTTGTGTTGGACCCCCTCATCGGAAAGGGTCATGGCATGGTGGGGGGGATCCCCGCTGTGGTGTGATTCCCATGGGATGTGTGACCTCCTGCATGGTGGGATGCTCTTTTGCAGCCTGGCTTTAGCACTGTGGAGGAGAATAAAGCAGGGCTCTGCTGTGATGCTGGGAGGAAGAGGAGGAGGAGGAAGAGAAGCAGGGTGGGAGGAGGAAGGCGTCCTTGGTACAGGGAGTGTGCTTATCCCTGTTTGCAGGGATAAGCACCCCATGGGGTCGCATCCTGCTCTGTCTTTCCAGGCTGACACCCAGATGCAGCACCCGGGCAGAGTCTCCTTCAAGTTCATCAACAAGATGCAGCTGGTGAGTGGCTCCTTGCTGGGGACACAAGGGGACAGGGACCAGGGCTGGCTGGTGCATGGGGGGGGGGGATGTCCTTGGGTCCCCTATCTCCTCTCTCTTGTCCCCTTTTGTGGATGGCAGCCCAGGAGGGACCCATCCTGCCTGTAGGCAGCAGTTGAGTCCCAGCTTAGGCAGCCTGCAGGGCCATGCAAAGGCATTTTGTGCCTCAGTTTCCCCAAGGCAGAGCAGGATGGGGGGTGCTGCTCTGCCCATCCCAGAACCAATCTCACTTTATGTGTGTGTGGGGTGTCTGTGTCCTCACAGAACGACTCCGTTTGCTACGTGAAAGCAGCTTTTCCTCTGCTGGGCAAGATCCTGGAGCGCACGGAGTTCAAGGAGAACTCCTCCAACGCCAAGAAGATGCAGATGGTGCGCAGGATGTACAGCCACATCGACGAGAGCTTTGACCCCTGCATCAGGGAGGAGGATGAAGAGGAGAGGAAGGTGCGGTGTCCCATGCCAGAGCCACGGGGGAATGGTCCGAGCCCTCATCCCTGAGTGAAAGGCTCGCTTGGACAGAGCCTTGGGTGATGTGGTCAGTGTGAGGTGTCCCTGCCCACGGCAGGAGGCTGGAACTGGATGATCTTGAGGTCCTTTCCAACCCAGACCATCCTATGGTTCTATAAATGGGGTGTCCAGAGCATCCTGGGGTGGGTGCACGGGCACAGGGAGCCGTGGAGGGGTCAAACCCTGCCCTGGGTGCAGCGTGGACCCCCGTGGTGGTGGGGTGCCACCAGGTGCTCTGCATGGTTGTGGAGCTGATGCCGAGCATGGCTCTTCCTGCAGCTCTCCCAGATGTGCTTCGAGGAGTTCACCACCTCCCCATACGAGATGCTGGTGCTGGTCAAGCACTTCTTCCAGGACATCAACCAGCTCCTGCAGAACCAGGAGACCTTCGAGCGGGATTGCAGCCAGGTCTACCGCAGGGCCTGCCTGGCACCCAGGCGAGCTGCAGCCTCCCCAGGTGAGCTCTGAGGCTTTGCCTCTCCCTGGTGCTGGGCTGGGGGGGGGGCTCGGGTTCACCTGCATGGGGCAGCTTCACAGCCGCGTGTCCCTGTCCGTGGGCACACGCGGGCGCCGTGGGCTCGTGTCTGCGTTGGTCCTGTCTCCGTCACCGTCCCCAAGGGGTGGCCTTGGTGTGTCCGTGTTGAGCCAGGCTTGGGAGAAGGGGCTGGCGGCCCTTTGGAGTTGGGATTTGGGCTGAATCCCGCTGGAAACGAGATGCTGAGGGCTGCAAGGAGGCATCTCCATCGGCTTGGCTGGAGGCATTGGGCTTGGCTCCGTCTGGGAGCCCCAGTGCATGGGATGAGTGTTAACACGGAGGATGGAGGTGCTGGGACTCCTCTGCCACCGACGTGCTGCATGACCTGTGTCACTCCGACTGCCCCCTGCCTCGGTTTCCCTTGACCAAGCCTTTCGGGGAGAGCGTTTTGGGGTGGAAGAGCCCCGTGTTGCTGTCCTGTGTCTGCATGCCCATGGAGGAGATGCCTTGCTGTGTGCTGGAGCTGTGCCGTGTCCCTGACGTTAAACGTGACTGTCGGTCGTGGATAACCCGCTGCCATGGGCTCGGGGTACCCGGAGATGCGGGTTTGCTTCCTCCTGCCCGGTGCTTGTCGTCTCTGTGCTGCCCCATCGCTCCCTGCCTGCTCCCTGCCTCACCTTTGCTCTCCTGGCTCTGGTTTGGGTGGCTGTTTGAGCTGATTCCCCACGGGGAGGGACGGGGACACTGCCCCCGACCTTGGATCGGCTGGCTGGGCCCCTCTTGGAGGCTGCTGACCCCACGGCCGTCTCTTCTCTCTGCTTCTTTCAGGTGTGGGGACAGATCCTGACTGCAATTGCCTGTCCCCTGCCCTCCCTCCTGCCACCCAGCCCTCCCTCTCCGCTGCCACCCATGCCAGCAGCGAGGAGGCACCCGCTAGCACCCGGCTCCCTTACAGCCTCCTCCATGCCACCCTCACTGACTTAGACGCCCCATCACAGCCCCCCAGTAACACGGACGGCGGCTCGGGGACCGGGGAGGTCCTGGCTGCTGGGGTAGGCGACGCTGCGTCGGTGCCATCCATTGGGATGCAGCAGCCAGCTCCGGCCGACAGCACCGAAGCCATCCTGGATGCAGCCGGGACCATTGGCCTGGCAGCGTTGGACGTCCCCATCGTGCATGGGGACAGAGAGCTGGTGGAAGGTGGCACCGGGACAGCGGTTGGTCCCCGCCTGCCGCATCCTGCCCAGCACCAGGGAGCCTCCATCCTCCTCGACACCAGCACCCCCAGCAGCGGCGGAGCCAGGATGGAGCTCATCCCCCAGCTCCGCTTCACCAGGATGGCCCCGGGGCTGCGGGACCGAGCTGCGGGGGGCCCCGGGGCGCGGGGCTGGGGGCTGAGCCGGCGCCGGGAGCCCCAGGATGGAGGTGCCGGGCCCAGCTTTGACTCTGGCTTTGTTCTGAGCACAGAGCAGCGCAGGAAGGAGCCGCCCGCCAGGGAGGGCCATGGGGAGCCCCTCGTCTACATCACGGTGGCCAGCGCGGTGGCCGTGCTGCTGGCCATGGGGGGGCTGCTCTTCTACAAGTACAGACCCAGGGTAAGGACCCCCCCCCCCCACTGCGCCCCAGCAGCAGCTCCTGCCTCGGTGTCCCCGCTTGGCTCTTGTTCTGTGTGGGCTGAGCCCCGCTTTCCTCATCCTGTCAAGATGGGGACACACCGGTGGTGCTCAGCGGGGTGGGAGGGTGTTGTGTGGGTGCAATGAGAGCCCCCCCACACCCCATTGCAGCCCCTTCCCCATGGCTCACCTCCCCATACCCCTTCCCCACGGCTCACCCCCCCATTCCCCTTCCCCACGGCTCACCTCCCCATTCCCCTTCCCCACGGCTCACCTCCCCATTCCCCTTCCCCACGGCTCACCTCCCCATTCCCCTTCCCCACGGCTCACCTCCCCGTTCCCCTTCCCCATGGCTCACCTCCCCGTTCCCCTTCCCCACGGCTCACCCCTTCCCCATGGCTGACCTCCCCCTTCCCCTTCCCCATGGCTCACCTCCCCATTCCCCTTCCCCATGGCTCACCTCCCCATTCCCCTTCCCCATGGCTCACCTCCCCATTCCCCTTCCCCAGGGCTCACCTCCCCATTCCCCTTCCCCACGGCTCACCTCCCCATTCCCATTCCCTTCATTCAGGTCCTGGAGCGGCCACTGGAAGATGGAGACCGTGACCCCGAGGAGCCAGAGAGGAGGTGGGTGTGATGCCATCCTGCTTGGGGAGGCTTTGGGGGCCCCCACCATGCCCTAACCCCCCTCGGCTTTCCCTTGCAGGGCACTGCAGGGAGCAAGGGAATGTCCAGACCTGGAGACTCAGGACCTCTGAGGTGAGCAGGGGCTGGATGGGACCTTGCTGGGCTCCGCTCCAAGCCCATGGGGATGGTGTCGAGTCCCTGGACCATCCCCAATCTCGGCCATGGGCAGGGAATTTCGGCTGCCAGCAGGGGATGGATGGGGATGGGAAGACCGGGAGATTCCCAGGTCGGCGCCCCAGTGCTGCCAGCTGTGGTTTCACAGCCCATTAATCCATTACCAGCACTTCCTTAATATATAGAGTGTATTTCTTCCTGTGGTTTTGATGTGCTTCTCCCCACGCCGCCTTCCCTGGCTCCCACTCATCATTCCCTTCCTTCCCGCAGGGCCCGAGGCGGGATGTGAAGCTGCTCGGGGGCTGGATCCGGATGCTCCTTGCTGTGTGCAGGAAGGGTCGGCGCGCACCGGCCCCGCTGCGGTCCTGCCATGATGCTGACGCTCCCTCTTCCCTCGCCCCAGAGACTGCACAAACCTCCCTGGCAGGGACAAAAGGATGGGGGGGGGATGCACCCCTAGTGGGGACCCCCGGGCTCCGAAGGGATTCAGGACGGTGGCAGTGGCTGATGTGAGGCCGCGGTGCTGAGCGGGATGCTGGGGGTGCTGGATGTGGGATGATGATGAGGATGGATCCTGCTTGGACATGGCCAGTGCTGGCTGAAGATGGAGGGGATCAGCTCCATGAATCTTCTCCCACCCCAGCATGGCGGGGCTTGGAGCAGCACCCATCACTTCATCCTGCCTTTCCCAAGGCTTCATCTGGAGCATCCTGGATGCTGGGGATGGGGAGGGGGGGGTGACAGTCACCTGGACCCCCTCCAAGCTGCACAACCCCAACTCACAACTGCAACCCTCACACTGTGAATATTTAAAGCCCACCAGTGCCCGTGTCCCTGCATGGGGATGGGTTTGGGGGTGATGCTTGGCACCGTCCTGCTCCTCATCCTCCTGCCGCCGGAGCTCCGGCTCCGGTCCCGGTCCCGAGCTGGCCTCGGTGTGCTGCGAGGGGTTTATTTGTAATAGAGCAAATCAAAGCCTTTTATCCCACAGGAATATTTGAGGGGGGGGGCCCTCCTGCCCCCTTGCAGGGTTCTTGATGCGAGCTGGCCTCGCCTCCGACTGGATTTCCTCTTGTGACTGCGCTTTAAAGAAGGGAAATGGGGCTTGGGAATGACTTGGATCAATGGGGATGTTTGGGATGGAGATGCCCAAGTTGGGTAGTGAGGGGCTTTTTGGCTCAGCCCCGCTTCCTGGCTTAGGGAATAGCCCGGTTTGGGGTGCACCAGTCCCGGTGGTACCCACAACAGTGGGCTTGGGCTGCATCCTGCATCCCTCTGGCCCCAAATGTGAAGCGTGGCCCGCGCTGCTCTTGGGTTTTGAAGTATTATTTTTATATGATGGAAGAAAACGTGGACAAAACCAAACTGTTTTTAAAGAAAGCATTACTATTAATTGTGGTTTTTATATATATATATATATGTATGTATGTGTGTGTATTTATGACTGCCAGAAGGAGGGGGTTCCAGTGCAAGGGACTTGGTGTAAATCAGGAGCAAAGCCCTGACTGCAGCAAGGAGGCTGTTGGTGGAAGCACTGATTTGCACCATGGGGAAAGGGGGGGGGGAATCTTGCCTTTAAGCTGTTGTTGGATTTATTTTTGCCTTTTTATTTTCTCCTGGTTTTGATACAAGGAAATGTTGGAATATTTTATACAAAGTCATTTAAAGAAGTTTATTTAAAGAAAAGCATAGAAAGCAGCTTGTATATTTAATATTATTAATAATAAAAGGTGACGTGGAGCGCTGTGTGAGTGGGGGAGCTGATGGGGGGGTGCAGTTTTGGGGTCCCTCATGGGGGATGACACTAAAGGAGGGATGATTGGGTCCCCATGCCTGGGAATGTGTGGGAAGGGGGGATGGAGACCCTTCATCCTCACTCCAGGATGCTCCTGGGCTTGATCCAGCATCCAGGGTTGTGTCTCCTCTTGCGCTCTGCATCTAGGGGTACTTTGGTGTCTTGCAATGGGGAATCCATAGGGAAAGCTCCTGGAGCAGAGGGCTGGATGTGGCCAGCACCGGGATAAGGGCTTGGGGTCGCGCTCCCGCTTTCCTGTTGATCCAGGCAGGAGTTCACGGCCACCGGCATCAGGGCCGAGGGATGCATCCGGCTTTCCTGCCCCCGCCCACCCGCATCCTGCTGGCACTGGGGCGCTCCTGCTATGGGCTCCCCTTCCCCACTGTTGGGGCCCCCCAAAACCTCCTGTGGGCAGTTGGGAAGCAGCTGCTTAAAGCAAACACACCCTCAACAACGCTTCCTGAGAGCACTTCACTTGAGAGGCAGCGCTGGAAGAGGCATTTCCGCAGGGAATGGGGGAGCCCTGCATCCCGCTCCCTTTGCATGCACCCAGCATCGCCGGCGAGGGGGGGGATACCCATGGAATGAGGGGCTTTCAACATCACCCTGAGCCCCTGCCATGGTGTTGGGGTGCAGGGTTAACCCCATGGCATCGCTCCCATGGGATGGATGGGAAGGGCAGGATGGGACCCAGGGGCGTTTTGTGGGTGCTGGGGCTGAGCTGTGTTTGCTGACAGACAGGATTCCTCGAGGGGAGCTGACTCAGCCCAGCCCTTCCTCTCCCCAGCAGCAGATGGGGGTTTCCCAGCTCCACATCCCCTTCCCAGGGAAGTGGGACCTATATATATCCCACTGGATTCAGGCCACAATCATTATGGTTGGATTTGGGGGGGGGGGGGAGTGGGGTGTATTTAAGGTCAGAGGCTGCTCTTAGGGGTGGGCACAGGGCCCAGGCTTGGGGGCAGCTCCAGGTGGAAGCACAAGGGAGGGTGTTAACTCTGGAGCTGAATGATGGGAATGAGTTTGGGAATGGCCCTGGCATACAAGGAGCAGCGATTCCTACCCCATCCAAATGTACCCCACAAACCCTCATCCCTGCCCTCCTCTGGCTGCTTCAAGCAGCTCAAACCTGTGGAATAATATGGACGATGGAGCAAAATAGGAAAACCCCATCTTGCTGTCCTAAGGTTCGGGCCAGGAAGGTCCCTTTGCTTCTCATGTCCCCACATGGTGGCCTCTTCTCCCCTCCTATTATGGTGGGGGGGAGCAGAGAGGTTATTCCCTGCCCTAACACCCCCCCCCCCCCAATGTGTGTGGGGGTAAAACCTGCTCTCAGCCCCCCACATCAGAGACCCCATAGCCAGAGGGAGACCCGGAGCCTTATCCCTGTCCCTTCACTGCAGCTAAGTGGGGCGCAGAGGGTGGGGGCACCCTGGGGTGCCGCCTGGGGTCCAAAATGGGTGTTTGTGCCTTTAAATCTGCCAGGATGGGGTGAAAAAGGGTGATTTGGGGGGGGGGACGGGACACACACAGCAATGAGTGGCTCCAGGACCCGCTGGGAATGGGAGTGTGCAGCACGGGTGCCACAGATGGGGGGCACCCCCCAGCACCAAAGCCGGGGGGGTCCCCCCCATCCCCAGTGCTTGCAGCATCGAGGGGGTTGGGACCACCCAGCTTCATCCCACTGCCAGGAGCCCCCCCTCCCAAGCACCCCAAGGGGGCTCAGCCCACCCTGGGATACTTCCCCCCCCCTCGGGCACCGCAGAGCTGCTGACGGGGCAGAAGTGCCCGGAAAGGGCCCCGAGGCCGCGGTTCGCGGGGCACAGCGAGTCCGGGACAGGGTTTGGCTGGAGGAGGTTGGTGGCCAGAGGCTGTTTTTGCGGGCAGACGTAGTGATTTTGGTTAAAACCCGTTATCTGTGCCCCCCCCCGGTGGGGTTTAACCCAAATGCTGATGTTTTCCCAGGATCCGGACTGTCCGTGGTTGTTCTTCAGGGCTTTGGGGAGCAGGACGGGGTCAGGGTGCCCCGTGGGCAGGGTTGCTGCCTTCCTGCCTGTCCTGGCACAGGGACACAAGCCCATCCCAAAGCCCGTTTGGGACATGGGGGTGATGCTCGGAGGGAGCAGATGAAAACATCTCAGTGGGGACAGATGCATGGGCTGGACAGACGGACACCCATCGGTGTCAGGAGCTGTGCCTGCTCCCTGCCTGCTCCCTGTCTGCACCTTACCTGCACCCTGCCTGCACCCTGCCTGCTCCCTGCCTGCTCCCTGTCTGCACCCTGCCTGCTCCCTACCTGTACCCTGCCTGCTCCCTGTCTGCACTTTACCTGCTCCCTGCCTGCTCCCTACCTCCTCCCTACCTGCACCGTGCCTGCTCCCTGCGTGCTCCCTACCTCCATCCTTCCTGCTCCCTGCCTGCACCCTGCCTGCTCCCTACCTGCACCTTACCTGCACCCTGCCTGCACCCTGCCTGCTCCCTACCTGCTCCCTGCCTGCTCCCTGCCTGCTCCCTGCCTGCACCCTGCCTGCTCCCTACCTGCTCCCTACCTGCATCCTTCCTTCGTCCTTCCTGCTCCCTGCCTGCACCCTCATGCTGCTGGAGGTGTGCCCGTTCTTTGAGGGTCCCGGCTGGGTGCAGCACCCCATGGAGTTGGGGTGGGGTCCCTGCCTCAAACAGAGGGGCTGGTGTAGACCCCACGGTGGGGACCCCAGTGACGCTGATGCTGAGGCTGATGACGGGGAGGGGAGGAAGGCAGCCCTGGCCATGCCCAGCACTCCAGCCAGGGCTGTGCGCCCCCAGCAGGGCTGGGTGGTTCTTGGAGCTCAGCTCCCGCCGCCATCCCGCCCGAGCTGATTTTTCCGGCCGATTTCTCCATTTCCCGGAATTTTTACTTCCTTTTTTTTTCCCCCAGGATTTATATATTTTTTCCTTGCATTATTTTTTTTCCACAGTTATTTTTCCTTTCTTTCCTCGGAATTCCTCTCCCCTGATTTTCCTAGAAATCCTCCTCCTTTCGCTTTATGTGCCCTGATTTGGCTCTGATTTGATTCATCCCCTGCTTTTCCCACGGCTCCTCCTCCTCCCCTGTCCCCCGTGTCCTCCACCGCCAGGGGGCGCCACGGCTCCTCGCCCTCTCCTCCCGACGCCGCCGTTTGGCCTCACTTGCCCGGCGGGTGCGTGCTGACGTCGGGGCGCGCTGACGTCACGGCGTCACGCCCCTGAAAACCGAGAGCGGCGGCCGCAGTCCCCGCCGCAGCGCGGTACCGGAGCCGAGCCGAGCCGAGCCGAGCCGAGCCGAGCCGAGCCGAGCCGAGCCGAGCCGAGCCGAGCCGAGCCGAGCCGAGCCGTGCCCCGCTTCGCCCGGTACCGCGGGCGGCCGCGGCCCGCTCCGCCGCTGCCGCCTCCGCCGCCTCCTTGCCCTCAGGATGTCGGTGCTGGAGCCCGCCGGCGGCGAGGAGCTGAAGCAGGCCAAGGAGGTGGAGGACGCCGAGAAGTTTTCCTTCATGGCCACCGTCACCAAGGCCCCCAAGAAGGTACCGGCACCGGTACCGGCGGGAGCAGGCCCCGGTTTGGGGGTTGCAGCGGCGCTGGCGGGAGCAGCCCCATGGGGATGGGGGGCGGTGGGAAAGCGGGAGCGGGTCCGGTTTGGGGGTGACTGGGGAGTGGGGGGGGCTGTCCCCGTTCATTGGGGTTGGTACCGGCACCATAGGACCGGACGGGACCCCTCTTCAGTGCCGGTTCAGAGGGGCTGGGGCCGGGCCTGGCCCTGCGGAGAGTGCGGAGTCGAAGGGGGGGGGGGGGGGGGGGGCTGGGGTGTGGGGGTGCCCGGGGGTCAGGGTGACCCCGGCAAGGGCACGGGGAGGTGGGGTCGGGGGGACCCCGCGTGGCAGTGGGGGCCTGTTAAATAGGGCAGCAGGGAGCTGGAGGTGCTGCTGTGGGGCTGAAGGGCAGCGGGGGGAAAGTGGGGTCTATGGGAGATGCTGATGGGAGCACGTTTGGGGTTGGGGATGAGCTCTCCTGAGTCACCTCTGCACCCTGTCAGCCTTGAAGACCTCCCAGGAGCATCGATGATGCTGCGCCCCATGGTGCTTGTGTAACCCTATGGGGTGCAATGGGGGAGCACTGGCTGTGGCAGGGTGCAGGACCCCCAGTAACGTGGGTGAGTGCTCCTGCCTTGGTGTGGACCTGCAGGGCTTGGTGACTGCTCGGCACTGCTGCTGCTGCCCTGGTCCTGGCACTCAGGTGGGTTTGTGCTCCCAGTGCTGCACAGATCCTGCTGCATCCGGAGGTTCTGCTGTGCTGAACATCACGTTCCCTCCGGGCCTGCAGCTGCTGCCTCCGTGGTGGAAGCAAAGGCAAAGCAGTCACGGTGGATGGGAACGTCCCCTTCTGTGGGGGAGCATCTCTCTTGTGGGGATGAAGGGAGCATCTGGTCCCCATGGCTGGGTTGGGGGCATCTCTCTTTGCCCAGGCTCACGGCTGCTGCCAGGGAGCCGGAGCTGGATGCTCTCCCTGTGCCCCTGCCCTGTTTATCCAGGCTCTGGACATAGCCCGGAGGAAGGAGCAGAGGAATGTGAAGCTGGGATCTGCTTCATCCAGTCGTGCTCAGCACAGTTCAAACTCAGGGCCTGGTTTTACCTTTTCCTTACTGGCATCTTCCCCAGCGCTCCCAGTGCGAGGCTGCAGCCTCAGCTGTGACAGGAGCACAAACTTCCCACCCTGGAGTATCTTATAGGGCCCGCATCCGTGTCCTAAACCCAAGTGGGATGTATTTCTAGGTGGGAGTCAATCCAGCACCCTCAGAGGCAAAGTTTCCTCGTGGTTTTGGGGTTACTGGAGGCTTAATCACCTTGAATTTGGTGCTATAAACACAGGCTGGTCGCACACATGAGGAGCCTCAGGCAGGCTCCGCAGCCTTTCCTGGCTGGGGGATGATGTTAAAGGTGCCCCAAGCGACACAAGAGCTTGGGGCTGGCAGCAGCAGCAGCAGAGAGATGCTGGGGAGCTGTGATGTGGCTGAGGTCAAGGACAAAGTGCTTCTGGCCACTGTTCCTGCCTGGCTAGTTCCTGTGAATAGGCTGGGTAATAGCAGAGGCGTTGGCAGGAGGATAAAAGGAGGAGGAAGGGAGAATTCCCCCTTCTGAGATAAGGTGTTGAGTGCCCCCAGCTCCCACCCCTTCAAAGCAGGATCCCGATTAAACCATTAAAACTCCCTTTTTGATGGAAGTCAAAGTGACTTTTGTGCTCTCAGAGTGCTCCGAGGCCAGTGAAGAAGATGGCTAAGAGAGATGATTTTACAGCATCGAGGTAGCAGCAGCAGCTTCTGCCCTGGCTAAAAAGGCTCCTTGAACTTTGCTGATGCAGTTTGCATTTGGAGATGGGGATGGTGGGAATGGGGCCAAGCTTAGTGCAGGCTCCATCTCCTCTGTGTGACTGCTGCTGCTCAGTGGCTTTCCAAAGAGGAGCCCTCATTCATGCTGGTGCCTGGGGAAAGTGCCAGTGTGCAGTGGCAGAGCCGCCGTGTCCCGTGCCCAGCTCAGACCTCAGGGAGCATCTTGGATGTAGCCCGAGGCACGTTGGTGCATCGGGAGCACCCGGAGCGAGCCTGAGCGGCGCAGCCATCCCAAGGGATTGCTGGCATCTTCGTGTCCTCTCTTGTCAGGGGCTTGGGTGAGGTGGAAAAGTGAGGCAGCAGGAGGTAAGAGATGAAGAGGTCAAGTATGATCAACTCCGGGGTTAAGCAGGAGCTGCTGCAGTTGGGGTGGATGGAGCTGGCGCCTGTCTGCAGGAATGGGGTGGATGGAGCTGGCGCCTGTCTGCAGGAATGGGGTGGATGGAGCTGGAGCCTGTCTGCAGGAATGGGGTGGATTCTCCCTCAGGAACCAGGCTTCCCTGGCTCTGCTCAAGCTCCTCTGTGGTCCGGGCAAGGTGGTTCTTTGGAAGGGAGTGGGGTAAGGGCAGAGGCTGAGTGATGCTGAGCCCTCTCCTTCCTCCGATGGGTGCCTCGGTGGTGCTTGGGTTAAGTGAATAGGGCAGTGGGGATGATGGGAGAGCTCAAGGGCAGGTTGTGCTTTTCCAGCTCCTCATGTGCCCTCACCTCTGCATCTGGGCATCCTTCCGCCTCCTTGGAGACAGGGTGCCCTTGGCAGCAGTTGCTTTCCTAATCCGTGTCAGTGCTGGAGCCTTCAACTCGGAGCTGAGCCGTGGGTGCCCTCGAGTGGGAAGGACCTAAAGCGGGTGCTGTCCCTGTCTGTCACTTCACCCGATCCCGTTGTGCCCTTGTCTCGTGGGGCTGCTGAGGTGCCTGGTGGGCTCCGGGATGCTGGCAGGCAGACAGACAGAGGGATGCTCTGCACACAGATCTGCTTACTCATGCAGCTCGCCTGGAGTGAGAAACGGGCACAAGCCTTGACTTTGCTTTTGGGTGCTGAGCTACTCAGCCCCTCCGTGCCCCCGGGAGCCTGGAGCCTGCGGGGGGGTGTGTGTTTGAGTTGGTGCCGTGTCCCTGCGGATGCTGGCTCCGGAGGGATCCTGCCGAGGCTGCGTGGCAGGGAATGCTAATGCACAGCGCTGCAGCTCTGCAGGGGTAGGAGCCGTGCGCTGTTGGCATGGGGGTGGCAGGAGATGGGAGAGGGGGATGGAGCCCGTGGGGGGGCTGGATGCCTTCTCCAGAGCATCCTTGCTGCTGCTGTGTGGTGCAGCTGCCTGCAGAGCTGCTCTCCTGCAGCCGGAGCGGTGTCTGACCTTGCTGCATCCTGCTGCTTCCCTGCCCTGCCTCAGCCTCTTCCCAGAGCCCGGGTTTCTGCCCTGTTTTCCTCAATCCCAAGTCATGTCTGGTCCCTGCAGCTCTGCCGGGCTGGGTGCTAACACCTCCCTCTGCAGAGGGTGACACTGCCCTTGTACTGACAGAGCTCCTTGGTTTTCTTCTCTCTTCAGATTCATCCCTTCATCCTCCTCTTCCTCTGTGCTTGTCCAGGCCAGTGGCCACCAAGCATCTCCTCCCCCTGCTTCCTTAACCAGGTGCCCTGCACCCAACTGTCCTTGCTTCCTTGCCCAAATCCTCTGTTCCTTTGCTTTCTCTCTCTCCTCCTGCTGTGGTTTTCCCTTCTCATGATGAGATGCCTGGGCTGGGATGAGTTGAACAGCTCATCCCGCTCCATACGGGCTGCCTGGGATGAATCTGGCCTTCTTGGGGTGCAGGAAGCCCTAAGCAGTGAACACGTTGTGGTTAGGTGGTCACAAGCTGAGCTGCTCATACCCTGCCCCATGGGGAGAGCAGAGATGACTTCCTGGGGCTTGGAGCAGACAGGGCACTGCCGGGGCTGTGTTAACAGCAGGGATTTCTGTTATCAGTCACTTTGGGGTCCATCCCATCACTGTGGCTTTCTGGAGGATCTCATGGCTGTCCAGAGAGGGGTTTTCCTTGGCACCCAGCACTGCTGCAAGGCCAGAAGATGCTTCATTAAGTTGCTGAACTGGAGAGCAGAAGAAAGGAGGTTTTGGGCTCTGCCAGCCTCAAGTCATCATCATCCGTGCTGAGCCGTGTGCCTTTGGCTTCTCCATTCTCCCCCTCCTGCAGTCCCATGAGGTAGGCTGGGCTTCCACTCCGCTTTGGAGGTGGGAGAGGAGTTGGATGTTCGTTCTCCTCAGCCTCCAGAAGCATCTCCTGTCATCTCTTGATGGCGTGGGTGTGGGGGCACCCATCTGAGCAGCGGCGCTCCTGCTGCGAGCCCCGCTCTGCTGGGTGCTGCCTCCTCCCCACGGGAGCAGCCAGGTCTGCAGCGTGGGAAGCGTGCTGGCAGCACAAGTGGTTGCTTTAGGCCTTTCCCCAAACGCAGCTTTCTCTTCCTCTGCTGCGGCCCCAGCCTAGCACAGCGCTTCCTTTGGGACCTGGCTGGTCCCCCCCCCCAGCCCCGCTTTCCCTTCTGTGCTCCCTGCTAGGGCTTGGGATAGCTTTGCTCTGGAAAGCAGCTCTTTAAGGTCAGGTTGGAGCTGATCCTTCTGGATAAACAACCGCAGGGCTTTGCAGGTGAGGATCCTGCCCATGCTGTTCCTGTGAGGAGTGGGTGAGTGCCTCGGCCCCGGGGGTTTGAGCAGGGGAAGGGCTTTGCTGGTGCCTGGTTGTGTCTTTTATCATCAGGAGGTTCCTGCTGCCGACGTTTGCAGAGGGTTGGTGCGCTTCCTGCTGAGCCCTTTGATCAGGGCTGCTTATCTGGGGACTCTGACTCACCTTCACTCACCAGGTGGTGGTGACATTCGAGGTGACGGTCCCCGGGCCGGCTGCTGGCTCCAGGGAGCAAAGGACCTTGTGGGAACGCTTCTGCAGAGTGCACGGCCCCAGTCCCCTGCAGGACCATGGCTTGGATCTGTCACTGAATCCCAGAGTGGTTTGTGTTGAAGGGACCTTAAAGCTCCTCCAGCCCCAACCCCTGCCATGGGCAGGGACCCCTTCCATAGAGCAGCTTGCTCCAAGCCCCTGTGTCCAACCTGCCCTTGAACACTGCCAGGGATGGGGCAGCCACAGCTTCTCTGG